TTTCATATTTTGGCTTTATTTATTTTATTGGTAAAACAAGCCAAACCTGCCTCTTTTTTTTTTTTTTAAGAGAATGATTCAGGAATTTTATCAGTAGGTAAATAAAGGTTGAGGAAGCTAGTTTACTTCTCCAGTACATGAAAAACCTGTAGAAACAGGCAATTGTCTTTCAGCAAAGTATTTACAGATTTCTGGGGATTATAAAAAACATTTTGTATAAAGTTAATTAGATATAAATCATAAAAATTTCACAGGTAAAGGTCTCTATCAAAGATTCTCACAGCTGCAGATCACCTCCTTTCCCTCCCCTTTGAACTCCAGGAGGCTTTTCTCATTGTTTTAGAGTTGAAGAAGTCAATATTCAGGGAGTAAAGTATTTATCCAAGGGTCATACAATGAAGTACAAGATTAAAACTTAAACCTTTATCTTCTGAATACAGTCCAACATCTTTTCATCTGTGCCAGGTTCTGCATTCTTGACTTACTGGATTGGATCCCTATTTGTTATTAAGATGTACCCTCTGCATTAGAGGATATTTAGCAGCATCTCTAGCCTTTACCCACTTAATGATTGTTTCATTTCTGGTTGTGACTACCAAAAATGTCTTCAGAAACTACAAAATGACATTTGGGAGACAGAATTACTCCAAGTTAAGAGCTACTTGTTGAGCTGAAGAAATGGATCAGTGCATGTTCTGGTTTGGCTGGCCTCAATCTTACAGAGATCTACCTGCCTCTACCTGTTATTAGAGGCATGCACCACCATGCCCAGTGGTGCTATTTTTTTTGGTATTTTATCATGTATTTGTACTATCTATGCTGATATTCCTTAAGGGCCATGAAGTTGTAAGTGCTTCTGCTGTTGAAAAAATGCATCTGAAAATAAAAAACTTTGGAAAGAATTTGTCTATGATGGGACTCCCTGAAGAAAACTCAACAGTGGGTCTAAGTGTCCCCTTAGAGAAAGCACAGTGAGGGAAGAGAGCACTGACATGAAGAGATGTGCGTCTATGGTTTTACATTTCCATACGCTGAGACATATCCTCCCGACTTTACCTTGGTGCATACAGGAACATTTCCTTAGAATTATAAACATTTCTGTTTTTCATCCTCTTTTTTAAATATTTCATTATTTTTTATTTTATGTGTATCACCTGCATGTATGTAAGTGGACCCATGTCATGCAGTGCCTGCAGAGGTCAGAAGAGGGTGTCAGATCCCCTGTAACTGCAGTTAATGGCGATTGATTGTTAGCTGCTATGTGGGTGCTGGGAATCAAACCCGGGTCCTCTGCAAGAGCAGTCAGTGCTCTTAACTGCTGAGCCATCTCTCCAGCCTCTTTTTCAAATTCTTAAGGAATATATACTTCTCATAAGATAAAGTGGACCTTAAAATGATCATTGACTTAAAGTTGACCATAAAAAGGCCTTGATTATAAGACACACTAAGAGAGAAAACATCAACATTTACATTTGAGTTCCCCCTGAGGCCTATGACTTTCCTACCATGGGCTTTTAAGTGGATTTACAATACCAGGTATGGATCCCATCCTATAAGTTGGGACTCTAATCCAATCAGAGAGCAGTTGATTATGCACATTTTCCACCACGTTGGTATTGTAGTTCATAGGGTTCAGAACTTGTTAAGTTAGTTTTCTCCCCCAGCAGCCTGCATAGTACCTTTCAGCACTGTATTCTAAATATGTATCTATACCCATAGTTACCATCCTCAGTCTTTACCAGAGGAGCCCCTTTCTAGAACTATGATGATTACAGAGGTTTGGGGCTACGCAGTATGCTGAGAATAAGTGACAGTGGAGGGCTGTGACCTACACAGGAATTTATACCCTCCCCTTCAAGATTCAGGGGACATTGCAGAAGAAGGGGTGGAGAGAATGTGAGAGCCAGAGGATAAGGAGAAGGGATGTAAGATGCCATATTCTGGAACATACACAGCCCTTGTAATCGCAGACTCTCAACAGCTGAAGATGATAGCATTGTCTGTACAAGAATGGCCCCATCAACCCCTCACTGCAGAACCATTTCCTACTGGTAGTTTCAGGAAAAGCAGGGGAGCCTTTGCCTTCAGGTGTGTACCCATTGTTAACCCCACCAGACTCCTAATCCAATAACACTGATGACCCTGGTTAAACTAAATGGGTCACAAAACAAAAACAAACGTTATGGATCTGGGAAAGGGACAGCTAAGGAAAAGCGGGGTGTTAGGGTGGGAGGAAGATAAGAGAGGGCATGGGAAGAAGTAATCAGAATGCATCACATACATGCATGGAATTATTGAAGAACTCACTTCTCTGGGAATACAGTATTTGAGCTGAAATTTTGCAGGCAAATAGGAGTTTGCCATCCAGATGCATGGTGAGAAAGGGAGTGCAAACAAATACCTTGAGTGGGAAAGTTTCCTGTGTCTAAGCAACTGGGTGAAAGTTAGTAGAGACCAGGAGATGAGGAGCTATGCTAAAATGGCAAGCACAGAGGAGTGTTCATCAAGAGGGAAGAAGACTGTGGGTTCAAATCCAGACTCTGCAAGGGGCAGATTAATTAAATTACTTCCTTTGTTTCAGTTTCTTCATTAGTAAAACAGATGTTAATTGGGATTTCCTTTAAAAGTTGTTTGCAGGTTTAGTGAATTAAAATATGTAATTTGTCACTTTTAGAGATTTTTTTTTTTCAGAGTGCCGTAAGATGCCATTGCAGGATATTGTGTCATAATGCCTTCAAAAGGCACTCTACTGCTTCTGTTTGAAAATGCCCTAATGGAAGATGAGTGGTTTGTGAGGCAGTTTGAATAATGAGTAGGTTTTTTGAGACAGAGGGTAGAGTTCATTTGTACATTATTCTAATTTTACGTGGAGTAATGAATTAACCAGAGTTTGGCAAGTCCCTATTGTTAGGGGCTGATTTAAATCCTGAAATCATTTATATTGGTATGTCAACTGTCTTTGTTTCATGTCCACTTTATTTCTTTGTGATACCGTTCCCAAAGTGAGAATACTATAAGGACTTACATGTAACTTCAAAAGAAGAAATTTAAAATCACTTGTATTTGAACAATTTTAGATGAAGTATTAGTCTAAATATTTGGCCAGTACTAAAGTTCTCTGATTAACTTTTTGCAGCTTTAAAAATTATATTGCTTTCTTTCACATTCTCAACCTGTGTCATGTGCTGAGGTGGTTGTTCTTCAACTCTTCAGGCGACATTTCCTGTGTATGCATATACTGAAATGATTTTATTTAATAAAAAAAGAACATCTCCTATGTGGATTTTAAATTTCCCTTATTAAATATTTATATTTTCAAAATGTCTTTATTTAATTGAGTGAGGTGCTTGGTGCCATTTCAAAATAACCTCAGGTGGTAGGTGTAATGACTTACCAAAGATTTGACCTTTAGCATTTTAGGATTCTATTTGCCTGCATTTCTGCATTCATCTAGTCTTAATTTATATGCTATTTCTCCATATCACCTAATGAGTAGTTGTCTTTATCATAAGATTCATTAAGTACAAAAAATATATGCCCAAATACATATCATCTGACAGTGATTTTATCCTCACTCTATCTTCACTGTGTCAAGTAGAAGATTCTGTGTAGACGCTGGTAGGTATTTACACAGACCTTCATTCTCAGTAAGTGCTTCACCGGTAGACTCTACATCTCCTGAACTTATGTCCGTTCTTTACTTCTCACTTCTTTGCAGTCAGCTTAATATATGTTTTATTTACCAAGTGATACTTTATTTTCCATTTCTCTGATACTCCTTTTAAAGAAAATTGAATGTAATATTTACACTGACATAATTTAATTAACATCTTACAGCATCGTCTGTGTGCTTTGATGGCGTAGATAATCAGTTATCTGCATACCTTTCAGCCTAGAAGTAGTTACAGAACAATAATCAGTTGTTATAATATGATATCAAAACTATTTACATTTTCCCATTTAAGTATTTTCGTATTGATTTTTAGAGGTGCAGATGCCAAATGAAGATTTTATTAAACAGATCATTGAAGAGTCAGCCTACATTATTTACATTTATATTATTTTTATATTTTTTCAGTTTACACAAATCACTGTCTCAAGAAGAAAACTTGAAGGATCAGTTTAATCATACCCTTAGTATCTATGAAGAAGCCTTAAAAAACAGAGAGAGCATTGTTTCCATCACTCAGCAGCAGAACGAAGAACTGGTCTCCCAACTTCAGAAGGCTCTGAGAGAGCGAGCAAACATGGAATTACAGCTTCAGTGTGCAGTAGAGGCCTCCCAAGTGGCCAGAGAAAAAGTTCAGAAGTAAGTAAAATGATCTGGCATTGATTTTACAAGCGTGAAACATTGAACTAAACAATACAAATTTATTGTCATGCTGCTTATCAATACTTTAAGGAAAAGTATTTTTTTAACTATTTCATTTGTTATTTTTATTTTATGTGTATGTGTTATTGCCTGAGTGTAGGTAAGTGCACCTGTGTCGTGCACTGCCCGCAGAGGACAGAAGAGACTGTCGGATCCCCTGGAACTGGAGTTACAGACGGTTGTTAGCTGCCTTGTGGGTGCTGGGATTTGAACCCATGTCTTCTGTAAGAACAACCAGTGTTCTTAACTGCCGAACCATCTCTCCAGCACCCCCAAATGAATGTTTTTAGGTCACATATCACATCAGTGTTTGTATCAAAAAGATATCTTCTTGGGAAATATTGTTACTGTAGTATTTGGGACAGTTTGTATTTAATAAATGATCTTGATCCGTTTTTGGAAACCATAGTGCTGAAATCATTCCACACTCCCATACTGATGGGCAATGTTATTTGCAAATGGAAGGGGCAGTCAAGTTACCACCTCTACTCACTGAGCATCACTGTAATGCTGTTGGAGTAGAGATCTTGTATGACCTTGCTCTCTGAGACCTCTAGCTGCACAGATCTAGTATGGAGAAATTAATTTCCTTGTGGTGTTCTGAAGTATTCGGTGCAGCTTTCAGAGTGCATAATTCTATTTGTTTATTTTGAGTGATCTTTGCGTTTTTATTAAAATTTAAACTAACCTGCATAATCATTCAGTCCTTATGACAACTCACAGAATGTTAGCAGTTTACCAGGAAGATAAGTCACTTGTTAATTTATGGAACTTGAATCCTGTACAGCATTTTCTAAGGAACCTTTTATGGACTAGAATTGGTTATCTTAACCTTCTTTATGTATGATTGACAGTGTTGCATCGTCACTCAAAAGCCTAATCACTTTCAGTTTCCAACACTTTTTTTTCTTATCTTTTTTCCCAGTTTTTCAATGTAAAGTTGTGCTCTCATCAAAGTTTCTTACTTCCTTCTACCTCCTATTGAAAATAAGTTTTCTCAACCATTTCCCCAACATCTCTGCAAGATATCTAGATTAATAGCCTACAGTCAGGTGAACCTAGTCAGTTAATTGTTGAATCTAGTTGTCAGATCTTTTATTCTGATTTCCCACAAGACCAAAGTGTATTTCATTTTTACTTGGGATTGATTAGACAAAATGTATCTTCAGCACAGTCAATGTGGACAGCATTCTAGGCGTTCTACCAATGGATAAAGCTGAGTAAGATGGTATTAGTGGGGCTGGAGAGATGACCTAGCAGTTAAGAGCACTGGCTGTTCTTGCAGAGGACCTGGGTTCAATTCCCAGCACCACATGGCAGCTAACAACAGTCCATGATTCCAGTTCCATGGAATTCGACACATTTTCTGTCCTCCTCAGGCACTACATGACACAGGTGCATTTATATACATGCAGGCATAGCACTCATACACATAACATAAAAATAAACTTAAAGAAGCTGGGCGTGGTGGTGCATGCCTTTAACCCCAGTACTCAGGAGGCAGTAGGCAGATTTCTGTGAGTTCAAGGCCAGCCTGGTCTAAATAGTGAGCTCCAGGCCAGCAGAGGCCACAGGGAGACCCTGTCTCAAAAAGATAAAAAATAAAAATAAATAAATAAATTTAAAGAATTTTTCAAAAGATGGACTTAGTATTCGCCATGCATTCTGATATTACATTGTAGAAGAGTCTTTGAAAAATGTATCAGTATACTTAGCAGCATAAAATTTAAATTAAAGAGCTCTACATTTCCTCTGTAGCTAAATTTCTCAAATAACTGATCAGCAATCACTTTCTTTGATTCTACAGTCCCCATATATTGAGCTGCTGCTCATTGCACTATAGTCAACATGATGAAATAGCTCTTTTTAATATTCAAAGTAATTTCCAAAGTCTGTAACCTATATTAACCATATTTTTATTATACAACTGAAATAAAATCATGGTAAAAATGAAGATGCTAATATATGTTTAAGACTATAACTTAGCAATCTAAAAACTTGCACTTTTAATTCAAAATGTGTAGGTACAAACTTGGACATTTTATTTTTAAGCAGTTTGCTAATGTACACAGTGACATGCCTGCCTCAGCAATGTTGTCAGAACTAGATGAAATAATACGTTCAGTGCTTTAGACAATGCATGTTACACATCCCTCCTCCTCCTGTTATCTCTCTCCATACTGTGCTTTCTGATTCCTCAGAAGGGGTCTGCCTTCTAAAAACTAAATTTATTGGCAAATCTTGATCTATCTACTTAGAGCCTTTTATCCTCTTCACCTCCTAGAGAAGCTTGTTCCACCTGTGAGAGTGAATGCAGCATCGAGCATAGAAGAAACAGGTTTTGTAGTCAAATCAGATACTCCTGCATTTGAATCCCAGCTTTCTTACTTATTGCCTGTGAGATTTGGGCCACATTACTTACTTACTTTGAGGAAAAGTTCCCAGGTCAGGTCAGACAGTAATACTGCCTATATGGACTATGTTCTTGTGAGGAATAAACTGTATAACATATAAATGCCTAGTACAGTATGGAATATAAGCACTCTAAATATTTGTATAATTATTAGCCTCAGATCCATCTAAATATAGCAAGACTAGTTCAATTATATCTTTTCTGTTTAGTTGTGTTTTACTTACTAGAAAGTAAAATCACTCTGTTCTGTGTTTTATTATAGTATCGGGGGTTTTAAAAATTCTGTTAGAAGATTTTCCAGTCAACAATTACATCCACTTAATTGATTCTTTCACTTATAGCATGTCAAAATATAGTTATTAGGCTATATTATTTATATGTTTACATGTCTTCCTACTAGATTGTGAATCCCTTGAGAGTTGGAAATAAGTCCTAACCTAAAACTACATTATACATTGGACCTGTTAAGTGCTAAATGAATGTTGTGAAAACCTTACTCACTAGTCATATAACTTCCAGATTAGTATCTCAGTGCCTGCTGCCCTCCTGAATCCATCTCATATCTCTGAAACTATTTTCTCCTCTCCTGAAAATGAACTCCTCCAGTTCCCTGCATTTCCTGTTTAGTTTCTACTCCTCAGCAATTTCAGCACTGCCCCTGTTCCTTCACACTTGTTTATCTTTTCATTGCTATTGGTACCAGTTTCTGTTACTGCCTAAATGTCTCCTGGTTCCCACCATCCCACCCTCATTAATTAATTGCATTTCTTCAGCTCCTTGTTATTCTAAATCTGACCATGGCAATAATTATAAAACTAGTCTTGCCTGCCTTGAATGCTGTCAAGTCTGTCTTCCTTTCTGCCATCACAGTTAAGTTCTCTAAAACATAAGATTGTAAGAGCCAGAGGGGGTGGATGACCACCAGGAAACAGTCTTCCAGACAGCTGGTCAGTTACGTGTATGAACTCACAGCAGTTGTGACTGCATGCACAAATCTTGTGCATGCTCAAAACACACAAAATCCCAGCAAGACATGGGGAGGTGGCTAAGAAATCCCAGTCCAGCCTGAGGAACTTTTGGCAATTGATTACTGTGGAGAGGGGGAAAGACAGTATCTTACAGGGATGGGACTCTTCGTGAGCCCAGTGGATAGACCCACACTGAAGGTCACAAATCAGACTCTTCGACCATGAGTCCATTACATTGAGAGTACATTAGATTGGGCAGGGGCAGTGGGGAGAGGAATGGATCCTGGAGATCTAAATACCATTAAAGTATATTGTATGAACATCCAAAAATTCAATAAAAAATAAAAAATAATTAAAAACATAAGATAATATTATTTTCCTATTTAAAATCTCTTATGTATATCCTTCCCTCCCTACAAGTTATAGTACTTAAAGATAAAAGTGATGACTGCCTTGCTAGTAAGGTGAAAAGATTTCTCAAAGATATTAATTTTGTGTTCAAATAATTTTCATCATATGCCATTTATCCTGTAGGCCAGATTGACAATGATATGATTCACATTCCTTCGTGAACATAATTGTATGAGAAAAAAATAAGACAAATGTAGGAAAGGTTTGCAAAATTTTAAAAATATTTTCAAGAAAAGATGTATTCTCTTCAGAACTGTTTATACTTTTCTTTTTAAAAAAGAACAAGCTACTTAAAATTTATGTGAGTTCTGTTCATTTAAATTTTTATAATTGAGATATCAAAGATTAGAATAAAATATTTCAATTGATTTTGAAAGTTGTAAGTTGCCTTTTAAAAGCAGAGCACACTGTGTCTTTTGAGTGATATTGGCGGGAAAGGAAAGAAAATGTGTAACGCTAACAAAGTCTTTCCTGCCTCTTAGCCAAATACGGGTTTCTATGAAGGAGTTGATGGTACAAAGAAATTGTGAATTCTCAGCCTGGTTACCCTGCTGCTGAGTGAGAACCGTCTGCAGTTGCCTTTAAAGTGTCAGGGGAGTCACCATAGTGTCACACAAGGGCTCTTAGCATAGAGCAAACATCTTTCCACAAACTCAGCTGCTTAATCTGTTTGCAGGTTGAATTATAAAACAGGATAGATGACTCTGAGTGATGGGAAGGGATGCTGAGCATTTCCAGTTTCTTGATTTGAAACAAAACCAAAAAAAAAAGAAAAGAAAAGAAAAGGCTTACTATTTTCATCGGAGGCTTTGCTGGGTGCTTTACTTTGGTTTCTTTCCTCAGAATCAGATTTTGACCATAAGGAAAAATAATTATGCCAAAATATTCTTAAGTAGCTTACTAAAA